AGGCATAATATTCGCATCGTGCTAACCGCTGCGGCATACAAGCTGTTACAGCCGACTGACGCGTGGGAGAGAGAGAGACAGAGAGGGAGAAGGAGTCGGGTTGACGCTGATGAATTCACCCCTACAAATCATTAGCGAATTCCTTATTATAGTAAATTTGACGCGTTTAAACCTATCGCAACGTGTCAAAAGTCGTAGTTTTGGCGGCTGCCAGCTTGCGGAATAATCTGGTTCCTCCGAGATGGAGTGACAGGCTACAATGCGTCCTGCATAATGTGGCCTCCGTGTCACTACCATGCAGATGGGATCCGAGCTCATTGGGGAACAAGCAGTGTGTGGCAAGAGTGAACGAGCTGTTTAGCTTTGATAACCACTTCGCCCGATTCCGTCTCCAGGCGCCCTTATACCGTTTCGTCACTGGAGCCAGGTGGGTGGGGGAGGGTAGAGTGCGATAGGTTCCGCGCAAGTCTACTACCCCAATAAATTAATTGACGAAGAAGTGGCATTACCGACAAAGACAAGGGAGGCTGGAATGGCCATTTCTGCCTTATTAGCCGTCGTCAGCCAATCATACCCAACCCCGAAGTGTGGAACACTCGAGGTTCGAATTCGAAACCTGTTAGTTATAAGTCCACGCCTCTAACCACTGGGCCACGAATCCGTTGCCCTGTCGGTTTCGATCGGGAATATACAATGGTAGGGGACGCTGTGAAGCACACGATGACCATCGTCGTTCGCAATGGAAGAATAGATTGTGGTTGAAGCTCTCAATAGTAAACTCATGACTCGGGTGAGAAAAAAATCAGAGAAGGGCCAAGAAGAAGTGTACGCCAACGCCTGGGACAAGAACGTCATCTGTTAGAGGCTTCGGTTCAATCCAAGTTTCGGGACGTGGTGGCTGGGCAGCCAAAAGTCTGGTGGCTGGCAGCCTGTGGTTTAGTGAGTGTTTATCGGCTCTGCAAGTACGAATCTGCGCAGTTACAACCTGGTATCCGTCATTCCCTATGTGTCGACAGCAGGGAGTTTTCTAGAGTGTTTTCATCTTCACGTACAACAAAATCTTGATTGAGGAATAGAACTTGTGGAATGATATTTCAGTCGGATGTGGTTTGGTAGCCCCACCTGAAGTAAACAAACCTCAGTCACTTCTAATACAAGACCGGTGGTAATGGGGGTTTTACAGGTGGAGCCGGGGAACGCACAGGTGACGAGGTCAAGTAGCTGTATGCAAAGGAAAAGCTATTGGGAGTACGTGGTTGTACTTTCAATGGTTGAGAAATAATTGCGCTAACCCCTAACCCTAACCCCAACCCCTATCTACAACTCCTTATCCTAAACTCCGACCGCTAACCCAAACCTTTAATCGTAACCTCTAATCACAACCCTTAACCCCCAGCCATAACCTCTAATCATAGCCCCTAACCGTTAATCCCGACCCCAACAGTTTTGTGCCCACCAGTTGGGGCCGCCAAACCACATCTTACCGATATTTCCTCTTATAAGCATGAAACTCAGCTTTCTTTAAGTAGGAGTAATTAAGACAGGCCTTGGTCAACTTGGCTCTCGGAGATCCTTTCGACCTGCGGAGGGCTAGGCGCCGATTTCCACAGTGATTTTCCGGCAAAGATTCTTTCGTATCGTCCTGAACCGTCTATGAAGGCGGGCAGCCAACCACCGGACTTATAAATCATTAATCGGATTATCGACTGTATAGTAGACCTTCACATGGGATCAAGTCGTCTAGAATCAGTAAGCCCGATTTACTCATTGCATCATACTGGACTTCTATATTCAGGTAAATATTTTGAATCTGCTACTGACAATAAAATATTTCTTTTCCCGTTAACCAGGAAGATATTGTATTCGAAAGGACTTCTCGAAAAGAAAACTTAGGCATAATCAAAAGTCGTCGCTTTTTCGCCCGTTCATGAAGTTAGCTCCATCTTAAACCAGATAATACTGTAGTTCTGTGAATATTATTATTACTATTATTATTATTATTAAAATTTGACGCAGCTCTTAACAGTATGGGTTTTGGTTCTCATTGGTACTCGCTCTGTACTTCACGATGCAGCTCATTTCGAGCTGGCCTGGAAAGGGGAATATCCATGCCCATCCGCAGATCAGTTTTGTATTTTCCCGTGCACAGGGTTTACCGCATCTGCTGCTGATGACGGTCGCCCCATTTTAACCGTGCAGGTGACCCGCAGTTTGAAGTAATCGACAAATGTGTTCTTGCTTGGTCAACAAAACGTGAAATTACTACGTTCTACTAACATAAAACAAGTAACGAGACTGCATAAGACAACAGAACCACACCATTATGCGTTTTTGTAACATTTTCGCGACACCGTTTGAGGACTCCTACCAAAATCCCTCAACAGCAGGACTCCGGTCGAACCTCAACATTCTCAAGCAAGAAACTAAACTAAACCCAGCGAGTATTTCATAGTCCTCCTCAAGAACGGAAGCATCCCTTGTGACTGTAAAGCGAGAATTCGCCTTCCAGTAAGCCAATGGATTTGCTATAACTGTCGTAGCTTTTATTCAAACTCATCTGATATACACAGTCAAATCTACAGAGATATGACCTAAAAATAACGTTCGTATTCTACAGAGAAGCTAGAAATGCTATAAAGATGCTAGCAGAATCACAATGTCTGGCACAGTTAAAAATAAACGGTCGCAGAATAAGGATATTACCGAAAATGACGATAGGGCAGAGTACCTAATCTGTTTTTTTGCATTCGTTTTCACTGACGGAACGGACTTTGATCAGGCCGACTTCCATTTTCGAACAAACGACGCAGTAATTTAAAGCATTAATGTCATAGAAGAAGCTTCAAAAAAGGAACTTCGTATGTCTGAAGAGGAGAAATCTTTGGGTCTGGAGCAAATACCGGCAAAAGCCCGGAAGGAGCTTGCCTGCAAACTCTTTAGACCGCTTTCGAATATTTCCCATTCGTCCTTTTATACAGACATTCTCCCTCCTGATCGAAAGGTGCGAATATGTATATTATTCACGAGGGTGGAGCTAGGGTATATACTAACACGAATGAAGGTGAAGTTTCGAGCTCCACGTGTATACATAAGCGAAGAATAAGAAGAGGGGTTGAGCACCGGAACATTGTGTTTATTGTCCTGAGCTTTCGGACTCTTGCAGGAGTCCATCGTCAGAGATAATAGCAGTAACAGGACAAGCGACAGTTATAGGGCATGTGGACCAATCATCAACCGACGGAGGTGATTGCGCTGAGCCCTGTATGCCGGCGCCGGATCGATAAATACATTGACTGAGTTTTGTTTGACTGTTTTGTTCCCGACATGGACGACTATTTTGGTGGCTGCGAAGTTTAACTCTTGACCCATTTCCTAGTTGTGGGCGGCCACTAGTGATAATGCGTCGACTCGTCGCATAGCCTGCTTATGTTCCTGTATGCGCGATCTGAGCAAGCGTCCAGTCTGACCTGTGTAGTTGCAAGGACAGTTTTGGCACGAGATGCGATACACTGCTCCAGATTGCCATTCAGGCTTTCACCGGTCTTTGATTTTCATGACCCTATTGCGCATGGTGGCTTTGGGACGGTGTGCGATTCCAACACCTAGCTCCGTAGCAATGCGCTAGGTCGCTCCTGAAACGCCCTTGATGCATGGCAGAGAATGCCATATCGTGGGTGGTGTTGATGTTCGAGTTCTTTCGTGGGGACCGCGTAGGCAGCGACTTATGAATGCCCTTGGATAGCCATTTTGCACAAACTGGTCGCGGAGATAACGGACCTCACGTGCTCTCTCCTCTGGTTTGCTGCAATGAGTTTGGATCCGCTTGAAGAGGGTCCTCACACAGCTTCGTTTGTGAGCCACCGGGTGGTTGCTGTAAAAACTGAGAAGTGGTCTTGAAACGCCTGCCAACATCAGTTCATGCAATCTCAGCTTCTGTCTCTGAGAACGCCAACGTTTCGAAACTTGCTGCAATGGTTGGAGGTTTGATGTCTGTCTTCTTTTACGGCTTCGCAAACCTCACAACCTACCGCCGTATCATCGTTCTCTGGCCTCGTCAAGACACGAATAGTCCAATGATCGACGACTGTTGTCGCTTTGCAGTTGCACCGCTCAGTTGGCCCATCTGGACGTGTCTTTAGCCGAGACCGTCCTCGTTCCCGCTGCCGCTCGAAGACCGACAGCCCCTGCTGGTACCATGTCAACTTCGGTGATAAGGCTAGGCACTGTGTCCAACCTTACCTCCTCAAGCTCTCCCAGAGAGCCTGACGCCGGAGAGTAGACGCGGTCGACCTCTCTGGCTGTAGTTCGGCCGCACAACTTCTTCACAAGGCTGAACAGCTCACGCAGATGCATTGTTTTTCCAAGCCGTCACTTTCTGCAATCTCAACCCCCGCAACTCTTGCTTCTCCCCTTTCACAGATGGATATTGAGCTTAACAAGCTGGCCGATGATAGACCATCCCTCCAGAAGCAGACAGCCATACCCTCATCCCGGAGCCCGCCCAGGTCATCTGCTCGAAATATTCAGTCCGCATACTCAGTTCGTCTCAATGTAGCCGCCGCCTGCTAGTACCATACTAGCTGTGGCGTTAAAACTCGTCAGTACATCTGTCCCTTCCGCTTCGTCTTCCAGCAGATCGACCGGGCTAACGCAAAGTTGAGTGCGATTAAACTTCGTAG